CATTTTCCTAGTGATAGGTACAAAGGTGTTGAATTGAAACATATTCCCATCTGCTTAAAACACCTACCAACCACCTGTGGAACCTTAATGACTCTTCAAAGGTCGATTAAACACATAATGGAGTTCTAAAATTTCTACATTGCATACATATTATTTGCAAAGTCAGAAAACAACTTTAATTAAAAACATACAATTACTTCTCAGTACGATACCAGAAAAAATCAAAAAGTTACTTTACTTTTGATTGGCATTGTTTCAACTCACTGATGGGTAAGTAAGGTCGCTTGTAAAGCAAGTTCTTATTTTTGTCTTTTTTCTTTTCACATGAAGAAAATGGTTAACTAGTGCAGTAGCTCGTTCTCTGCCTCAACCTGTGAGCTACACTACCTGTGGGCCAGGCCAACCTGTGGATCATGTCACTAGAGCTTGAGGCTCCTTCCAGACCTACTTCGCCACGCTGCTGATGTGTACATCGCTTGAGCTTGAGGCTGATGGATTCGATCACCTTGTATTGCTTGCATTCGATTATCCCATCCAGGCCTGCTTTGCTAAGCTCCTGAGCTACTGACTGGTGACCCACCCTGTTGTTTGCTACCTGTGGGCAGACTCTGCTTGCCTTGCCCCAGGGAGGATTTTGCTGTCTGCTTCCTTGATCTTGAACCCGGCAGCCCATGTGAGTTGAAGGACTTCCAGTATATTAACTGCTCCATGGAACTGAGTTGAACTGAACCCTCTGTACTGCTGTGGGGACTAATGGGCTGTCATATTCCTTCGGGCTATATAAACCTATCCATATATATGTAAAACCATAAGTGCCTTGGTTTCATTTTTCTAGAGAACCCTGCTTAACACAACTATGTAATTTTCTCATCACCCCCCACCCCAATTTTTTTTCTGGTGTCCTTGCCAGGAAAAGGAGTCTTCCTTGGTGACAAGACTATAAAACAACAAATACTGGAGGCTAATCTGTTTTGCCAGGTGTTGTATCAGGGGGCAGCAAAAAATGTGAAATTCCTATCTTTTCATGAACTTTTTGAAGCCCTTGCAAATGACTTTATAAAAAGCTAGTCTATCATGTATCTTGAAATACAATCACAAACCTGAACACAGGAAAAGACATACCTTGAAGGGTGGTTCAGTAAAAAATACTGATTCCTTCCCAGAAAGTGGTGTTGAAGTTATTGATCTTGGAGAAGACACATCACTTAACTAGAAACACAAAATGTAAGCCACCGGTAAAAAAAAAGCTTCTTCAAAGCATTTCCTTCTGTAGTATCAAGGAATCAACCTACTTAATCAATGTAAATAAATTTAAATTAATTATCTTGGCACCAATTACTTTTGCTGACTCCTCATAATGACCCTATGGCACAGAGTAGAACTGCCCTAAAGTATGAAATCCTTTTGGGAGCAGACTGCTCCATCTTTCTCCTGTGAAGTGGCTGGTGGGTTTGAACCACCGACCTTCCAGTAGCAGTTGAGTGCTTAGCCACTGCAGCACCAGGGCTCCTTCTTTGCCTTAAAATTAATTCAAGCATAACATCTTTTCAGTGCAATTCAGCTACCTCAAACACTTTTTGAAAGATATAAAAGTATCACTAAGTGATCTTGCTTCAAAATTAACTAGAAACAAAATTTCAAATCTATAAAAAACTGGTTTTTAAGGAAAGTTCTAATATATTTCTTTTTTTTAACCTAAACACAAAATGACAATACTATGGTTCTTGTTATCTGTTTATTGATGGTTGGTTGGGTTTTTTT